GGTTTTACTGGCATCTGGGGGTCATACACGGGTCTCTTCAACTACCTCCTTAACTCAGAACTCCAGAAGACAGCGAGCTCCAGAGAGGCCAGTATCGGGTCTTCCCATGCCTGAGGCACACTGAGGTCCATTCCTGGCCTCAAGGGAATATGGTGGTTGGAGGGAAGAGTGAACACCAACACCCAGCAGAGGACCTGGCATGGAGAGATGTCCAGTGGAGACAACTGTCATCCACACAACTAAAAGGTTACCTTTAAGATACAATGCTGGCTGGGTGCAGTGGCTCATGCCTGTAATCCCAGCACTTTGGGAGGCTGAGGCAGGAGAATCACTTGAACCCAGGAGGTGGAGGTTGCAGTGAGCTGAGATCGTGCCACTGTACTCCAGCCTGGGTGACAGAGTGAGACTTTGTCTCAAAAAAAAAAAAAAAAAAGAAAAAGAAAAAGATATGATGCTGCAAAATGTTTACAGGCAAACCTTAGACAACCCAGATCCCTAAGCCCACATCCACATCTATTCTATTTCCCCCCAAGAACCTGCAGGAAGGGAGACAGAAATGAAGGGCAGCAAGTGGACTCTTTACAGTGAGGCAACTGAAAACCTCCCATCCCCAGAGCAAAACATGACAATGGGAGGGAATACGATGGAACAAACTGTGATGCTTCTATCTTGACTTATGACAAAAGGGCTAAAATTGGGCAACATTTCAAAGGGCTAGAAAGGAACTGTACTATGATTACTTGGCAAAGAAAAGCAACATAGATAAACAGGATTCCAATTTTTTTTTTTTTTTTTTTTTTAATAAGAGATAGGGTCTCACTCCATCACCTGGGATGAAGTGCAATGGCATGATCATAGCACACTGCAGCCTCAAACACCTGGGCTCAAGCGATCCTCCGGCCTCAGCCTCCCAAACAGCTGGGACTACAAGTACACACCACCACGCCCAGCTAATTTTTTAATTTCTTGTAGAGACAGGGTCTTGTTATGTTGACCAGGCTAGTCTTGAACTCCTGGCCTTGGGCAGTCCTCCTGCCTTGGCCTCCCAAAGTGCTAGGATTACAGGCGTGAGCCACCACACCCAGCCCTAATCAATTTTAGACTCCTTTGTGCTTGGCGTTATCCCCACATTTGTATCAACCAGCAGGGAGAAGTGGTGAGGACAGAGAATGCAGATGTGGGCATGGATCCACTCAGGTTCCTCTTGCAGGCGCACTCTCTCTGTAGATGCGAAACAGTGAGGCACAGGTTGTAAAAGCCCAAACACAGTACTTCAAAAGCATGCACAGAAACCCCTTCACATCTGAATACATGACGTTAACTTTCAGGTCAAGTGGACTGACCTGGCTCCCCTCCTGCTGCTGGCTTCATCCGCAACAGACAGCACTGTTTGCGAGGTGAGAGTTCTATTTTTCTTACATAAAAGGTCTGTTTTACAAGGTTATTTTATCTGGTTACCAGTCCAATGCATAAAAGACAGTGGTATCCTGTCTCACGTACAAAGAGCCATGCGCCTGGGATGCCTCCCGAATGTGCGGCGGCACCCTCTGATGGTGCTCTTCCATCTCTCCACTTGTCCCAGTATTCGAGTTTCTTCAGGCTGCTTCATTCTTCCATGATGTGCCTCTCAGTGAGGCTGTATTTTGCAGGAAAGTTCCAGCGAACGATGTAACAGGTGGAGAATCCCAGATCCCAAAACAGAGATTGGAACCATGCAAAGAGACCCTTGTGTTGAAACATGTTTCTAATCAGATAACCGGATGCATCTGTTCTGTTAAATGTCCACTACACTTATAAACAAATTAACCAAATTCAGAAATAACCATACAATTATAAAATCTGAAAGGAATAAGGAAGGAATTATCTGTGAAACTTGCCCATTTTCCTGAAAATGTGCTGCAGATTTAAGTGTTACAAAACAAAAGAATCCTAAATTTCCAGTCACTGCTATAATTTGAAGTACACATGTTACGCCGTAAATCTGATACCCCAAGACATAAGAAAAAGTCACACTTAGGGAGAAAACCTTCATAACTGTTAGAAATGTTAGAAGAAATATGTTCATTTTAAAAACAGGACAATAGTACTCAACTTACGAAATAAACCCACTAAGCCAGCAGGAGGCATTGCCTAGGAGGACTGTGGCTCAGCATGCCTTAGTGCCTTGGACTCTATTTCTATCGCTTGTGCTTCTGGGGCAGCCCTTTGCAGACAGTTTCTGTCCATTTCATTAGGAAGCTCTTGCCGTGTGGCTCAGTTCTATGTTTGGAAAGGCAGTGAGCGACCTTCAAGACCTGACGCTCCATTCCAAGGCGACAGAGAATCAATCACGGATAGGCGCGAGAACAGAGTCAGATCGCCGGCCAAGGTAAAATGAAGACGATCTTCTGGATCGGGGCTTCCTGACACGTGACCAGGGCCAGTCCCTACACCCACAGAAACCACACGAATATGTATGTATGTGCAGTCTTCCCAGGAAAAGGACCCATAGATTTCTTCAGATTTTCCAAAGTTTGTCTGAAACTTCCAAAATAAAAAGAACCATTGTTTTGTGCTCATTTTCTCTGGGTGTTCCTATGTATTTAGTGCACCTGAACTCATAAGGATGTGTTCATCCCTGGGTAAAGAGTAAGATTTCTGAATTCTCAGTGATATGTTGGGCTGTGAAGTGCAGTGAGCCAGAAGGTGCAGATTCCCCAAGTGACACATACGGAAACACTCTTCTAGTACAACTGAGGCCAACACAAAATCAGAATAAAAGTGTAAGGTTTTATTTGGAACCTTATTTCCCTATGTCTAGATCTGTTCTATTTCTAGGAAGTTTCTAGGAAGCAAGCATCAAACCCTGACAGTATTCATGCCATCATCTCCACTACATTCAGTTGTCTACATTATTTTCTAAAGTTATCCAACAGGGAGAGAAGACCTTTATTAATAATATTTCCCTAATATCTAATATACTTATTTTTAGCTAAGTTAATCTTTGAGCCACATATCCATTCAGAACATACCAGAACAAAATCAAACTCACTGTTAGGAAATGTATCAATACTTCCAAAGATCACATGCCACTACTCTTAACACACTACAGCCCGCTAGTGTGAGCTACCCAACATCAGAACGCCTACAGCTCCAGGCCCTGCATGCACCATCTCATCCACCCCAGGAAAGTCACTTCCTTCCCTGAGAGCACTTTAAGTGAGCTCTGGGCGAGTTTATGCCCCAATCCCACCACCATTTTTATTCTTAGGCTCTGAAGTTTTTCCCTCTTGAGTCTCTTTCATTTGTACTCACAGTTTTCAGAATCTAAGATGGTCTTTAAAATATTCATTCCAGTAGGGACCAAGTTTTCTCCTGCCTGGTTAATTCCTTCCGGGTGTATCAAATGCCTGGGTCCAGTCAATATTGTGGCTAGAATTGGCTAAAAGGAAACACCTCTATTGCCGAAAGTATCACAGAATAAAAGTTTCTAAAAGTCTGTCGTAATGAGAAAGCGGCTTAACAGGCAATAGAGGTTCAGATTAAAATTTAACGTGACTTTTAAAAACCTACTTAATGTGGGTTTTTTGTTTTTGTTTGTTTGTTTTGAGATGGAGTCTTACTCTGTCGCCCAGGCTGGAGTGTAGTGACACAATCTTGGCTCACTGCAGCCTCCACCTCCCGGGTTCAAGCAATTCTCCTGCCTCAGCCTCCTGAGCAGCTGGGATTACAGGTGCCCACCACCGCATTCGGCTAATTTTTGTATTTTTAGTAGAGACGGGGTTTTACCATGTTGGCCAGGCTGGTCTTGAACTCCTGACCTCAATGATCAGCCCGCCTTGGCCTCCCAAAGTGCTGGGATTACAGGCGTGAGCCACTGCGCCTGGCCTTAAAAAACCTACTTAATGTTTTCACTGTGCTTTCTATTAAATACATTATCAGCCAATTTCTCTTAAAATGAGCAAAGCAAAAAGGAGCCAGGGGTATTGAGGTAGACTATTCAGCTTCCAAAAGCCATCTAATAGAAATGTTATGAAAACTTCTGCTATACACTAGTTTCAGAAATATTGCATAATCCACCAACAATGAAACTTCCAATAAACGAATATATGAACATGCCACTGAGCTTCTACTCAGTCTCTATAGTTCCGTGCATTCTCTTCATCCTTTCCCCTTGATCCATTTCCAAGTTGCTCTGAATGTCGTCTTAACAGTCAGTCTTCCCCTGTTTTGGTCAATTATTTGACCATCATATGTATCTGCCCCAGAATGCTTCTCAAGTCTCTTAATCCCAGGAACAGCTAAGAAAAAAAGATAACTGCTCGAGGACTTTCTGACTCTCCCATCAAATACGAATTTTCATTCATTCCAATGGTCGAGAACGCATTAGTCTGCATTCTGAAAGCAGCCCACAGTTTTAAATAGCATGTTCAGGTACATGGAACACACTCAACTTTCCATTTTTTAAAGGATAAATAATCTTTCCTGGAGATTAAAGTTTCTTTCCTTCTTCTCCCTTTCATTCACACTGTCTACCTTTTGGCCACTAATTTTGCACTAACTCATTCACCCAGTAATAGGAGGAGGTGGCGGCTGGAGGGCCACTGAACAGCTTCTTCTCCCTCCTCATTGGCACTTCTGCCCTACATAATAACATCTCATTTTGAAAACTGGTAGCATTGTGCCACAAGTATATTTGGATATAATGTGGGTGGACTTTGTATATTCTAATACAGGACATTCCGAGACTGGTTCCAGATTGAAATTTCGTCATTACTGCCTTTAGGATTGTCACTTGATGATTTATTTCCTCCTGAAAAATAATTGCCTCTGATCTAAGTAACTTACACTGCAAGCAGATAGAAGAGACAAGAATAGGCATAGGAGGAATTACATAAACTGCCTGGGAAAACTGAGGTTCATAAGAACCCCAAAACCTTCAAAAGATAATTGTCTCCAAAGCATGACACTAATACTGACAGACACAATGTGAGACATGCATGTCAACCCAGAAGTACAAGATCATAATTCTCTGTGATTATATATACTTTAATGAAATCTACTGATTCATCTAGTAAGTTACTAGGTATGCGAAAACAACATAATTTCCAGAGTTCCTAAATATTTCCAATATATTGAACTTAGGGATCCAAGATTCTGAACATGCCATCACCAAAAAAAATTGCAAACCTAAAAAACAAAAAGGAAACAAATTAAACAATGTCAAAGGAAAGACTTTCTTAGAAATGGTCAATATTTACTTTTATAATTTTCAAAACATTTTAAGTTAATACTTTTTATCATCTTACCATTATAAGCTCTTAAGTCTAACATTACAGTTTTATTTAAAAACAAGGCAGTTTTCATACAGCAAAATAAATATTACACAATACTCATACACACCACCTATTTAATTATGGAATATGTACTGGGTCAAAACATCTTCATATTTACAATCTGAGCCTTTAAAGTGGCATTAGTTCTGTCTTTATTTTCTTTTAAAAGTTGTCATCATGGTGACAGAAATTCAGATGCATAAATAGAATTATAGATTTTGTTCACCTTTAGAAACTCTTTTTTTAGTTGAGTAATAGTGGTTAAAGTCTTTGTGCTTCTATTACATTAACTTTTAGCACACGAACTAAGAAAGACGCTCTTCAAAGCTGTTCTAACCAAAAAGAGGTAGGCCTTTTTTGAAAAAGAAAAAAAAAACTTTTTTGGCAAAAATTTCCAAAAATAAAAACATCAGTATTATTTCTTATTAAAAATATTAATATACAAAAGTGAGCTGTATAAACAAAACTTTTGCTGTAGGCTTAAAGACCATGCTACTTAGACCAGTTTATTTAATTATTCCATAGAAAATCAAGAGTTCAGAGTTCATATTTCCAAAAGCATAAAACAACACATCAGGAGATATGGTAAAACAAAGAACCACTGAGTGCACACTGGTTTTTCTTTAAGAACAAGGTGAAGCTGGCCCGGGGAAGCAGAAATTATTAACAGCCCACACACATAAAATCACTGCTCTCCCAGTCAACCTAACGGGGCCCAGATTTCCATGGCCAGCTTGTGAGTAATTTTTTCTTAGTGTATGTGAATAATTCTCCCTATCATTACAGAAAGCCACATACATGAAGAAAAAGAACACATTTTATAAATGTTAAATTACTCTCAACATCTGAGATTAAGCAGTAAGAAAATACTGTTTGTAGGGAAATTAAGTAACATAGAATAACATGACAACTGAGTCTCTAGAAGAGAAACATGAAAATAAAGATGACTTTAAAAAAATGATGATGTTTTCAGTTCCTCACAATTTGCCTTCTGTAGCACCCTCCAGAATGAGATGAAACTTAATTTCCTCAGCATCTCATCAATTAAATGACTGCACAATTTAGGCTAAAGATAAGTAAATCTATGGTACTATATTTGTTATTAATGCTGTTACATGTAGTAAAAGAAATGAAGTAGCATAAAGAACCACTTATTTGAAATAACAGCTTAGTGTGAATCTGAACTCCAAGTAAAAACCTTATTGGAATTCTATTTTTAGGAGAGTTAAACATAGTAACTGCCTTATAAGCACTGCTACCTCAACATATTTAAAAGGACATGGTCCATCAGAATACATTTAATAATTAAATAACACTCCCCTCCACCCAAAAAAGTTTTACTAAAATGTGAAAAGAAGCCATTGTATTATCTTCAACTATAAAATATATTTGAACATATAATCTTTCAAAGCTAACTGATACAACTAACATTCTCCATAGGCACTTCATATTTTAAAAAGTAAAATAAACACACACGTATACAAAAAACATTAAAATTCTTTAACATAGAAAAAAAAAGTTGTGGCAAGAATCCTTACTTTCTAGTCTAAAAACCTGTAAGTCTGGATTCCCTTTTGTTTAAGAGCAAACCCTACTGTTTAAAAAAAATTATTTCAATCTCTAATTCCTAATGGCTCAGGTTTTTTTCATATAATAAATACTTTGCTGCTGATTAGGTAGCTCACAAGAGCTCACTTTAAAAAGCCATGTTTAAACAGCTCTAAAAGGTTTAATTAGCATTTATGATGTAAGCCCTTTTGTAAAACATTTGAGCTAATTTAGGTAAGATATGTCAGTATGTTGTTTAATACCTTTGGTTTACAACTTTAAAATGTTTTTAATCTTGAAGAGGAAGGAACTGGGGCAGCACAGACACGGAAACACATGAAGGCCTCGCTCTCGCTGGCTTTGCCATTTACCATTCGGGCTGAAGTGGTTTCAGGACGAGGCGATCGCTCACCTTCTAGTCAGAAATCAGATGACCTCAAAACAACCTCATTTCAGGCTGAGGCCTCATGTCTTTCGCTTAGAGCTAAAAATAAAAATACATGTGAATGAACAAATGAGCATGGAATGAAATCTCTAACATGACACTAAAATATAGAATATTAGAAGCCATTTTTATCACAGAAAAATGAAAATGTACACATTTCTACACAGAGAATCACAATCCTATTTTGAATGGAGTGGTGCCCTCCTTATCCTGTTAGCCGCTGGGTATCATAACAATTGAAATCCAAGTTGGTTCTACAAAGCTAAAGTCATACTTGATTCATTTCCTGAGATTATAAAACATTTATTTATTTATTTATTTGAGACAGAGTCTCACTCTGTCACCCAGGCTAGAGTGCAGCAGTGTGGATCTCAGCTCACTGCAGCCTCTGCCTCCCAGGTTCAAGCAATTCTCCTGCCTCAGCCTCCCAAGTAGCTGAGATTACAGGCGCCCACCACCATGCCCGCTAATTTTTATATTTTTAGTAGAGATGGGGTTTCACCATGTTGGCTGGGCTGGTCTTGAACTCCTGACCTCAGGTGAGCCGCCTGCCTCGGCTTCTCAAAGTGCTGGGGTTACAGGTGTGAGCTACCGCACCCGGTCAAACATTTACTTTTTATAGAGTTAAATTTAACAATATTTCAATGAAGTCAGCCACTTAGATCATATATATATATATGTGTATGCCAGGGCAAGAAAAGGCAGTGTAATGCTAAACCGTAACAATAGCCTGGCCCTCAGAAATATATTTTTGTGTATTCACAACTCTTGGTTCCAATAGCAGTACTCGTAGAACATGAAAATAAACCTGTTTCTCCAACCAAAATAAGGCACTCACTCATCCAGCAAATAGCAAATGTTTCTAAGCACTGGAATGAAGTGCTTGGTATGACAGAACAAGTTCTAAACCCATCAGCGAGTCTGGAGTCCTCAGCCATCTATTTCCTAATTTGGGGTCTCAAGTCTGTGCTATGATGCTAAGGAGATTCCACAAGAGGTAGGAGGGCAGTATGTATTAAGTGACAACAGAATGAGGCTGCAGAATTTGAAACCAAATCCACTGAGAACTCTGAATCTCTCTGCTGTCACTGTCAACGACCTCAACTCATCATGTGTCTGTCTCTTCAGTGTGAAGCTTATGTTTTCAAAATCCTACTTTAATCCTGGAAATTAATTCTCTCTCATTTGGAGAATGCTGGTAGTTTTGGTACCAAATATAATGCCTCAGGCTATTTTGAAAGGTTAAATCTGCCAAGTACCTTCAAAAACCACTTATTTTAAGAGTACTTCATTCCACTGAAGCCATAATTTACAATTCAGAAATTCTGCTGCTAAAGTTATACTTAAAGAATTGGCCCTAGCTATACTACAAAGAAGACAAATATGTTACAGAATGTTTTACACCATTCATCTATTCCCATTAAATATTATTCATAAATTATCACATATAGTCTACACTAACATTATTGTTCAATGTTTTGCATTTCTCTGCTGGTTCTACATATACCAATGACGTTTTTTAATTTTGTGGGAATATGATACATTATCAAAAAAATCAAAATATATGCACCTGATTCAAATTAAGCTCCACGTTCATCTTAACCCATTGATGCCTAGTGTTCCATTACTGCAACGCCAAGCTTGTGGAATTTATTTGTATCCTACTGCTTACAGTCATCACCAAGGCCTGATTTTTCCCAAAAAAAATTGCAACCTCCAGCATAAATGGGTTAAAACCAGAAGAATAAATACACTTTTGAGTTGGCTTATGTTCCATAATTTTTCATGGAGTTCAACTAAATTTAATATCTTGACAAATATTACCAAGTTAAATGTTTTGACTCTGAAGTTCATAGGCCTCAGAAAATACTTTAAAGTAATATACTGCAATTTACGCTTAAATACTTAGAATAAAGAAGACAAGAACTATGGGGAGTCATATCTGGGTTTTAAGCAAATCAATAAGCTTTGAAAGTACATTTCCCACAGATGTTCGTAAGATGATTCTTAAGTTTTAGATTTTGCTGCATTCAAATTTTAAACATGGAAAACCATATGCTGGTCTTACATGCAAGCAGCGAAACCCTTCCTCCTTTCCCGTGTATGTCAGACGGTCCTGCTCTTTTCAGTTCATAGGAAGCTTCAGAGAAAACATAACTAATTCACAGATACCCTTTTTCTACTCTAAGTCTTAAACATGCTCCTCTATGTATCCCAAATTTGTTCTGTGTCAACACAGAGACCCTGTCGGCTACCCATAGCTCGACTCTTACTTGATTTTTTTCTTTGCCTTTTTTTTTTTTTTTTTTTTTTTTTTTGAGACAGAGTCTCATTCTGTTACCCAGGCTGAAGTGCACTGATGTAATCTCGGCTCACTGCAACCTCCACCTCCTGGGTTCAAGCGATTTTCCTGCCTCAGCCTCCCGAGTAGCTGGGATTACAGGGGCCCATCACCACATCTGGTTAATTTTTGTATTTTTAGTAGAGACGGGGTTTCTCCATGTTGGCCAGGCTGGTCTCGAACTCCTGACCTCAGGTGATCCTCCTGCCTCAGTCTCCCAAAGTGCTGGGATTACAGGCATGAGCCACCATACCCGGCCTATTTGCTATCATTCCTTGGCAAGAACTAAAAGCAGCTGAGTCTTCATTCGCCTCCTGAACTCAGATGTCCCCCTTACATCTCACAACCTCATCCATGCCACAGTCACAGCTGCCATTTCCCCCTTTTGGCTTCAACCACTTGATGTTCTGTAATACAGGTTACAGTCGACAACAATTGCAACACTGTTCTAATTCCACAACTTTCACTACTTCCACTTCAGGCCTTTGATGATAAAATAAGAAGACTGAATCCTCAGAGGTATGTTTCAGCTTACTAACTATATACTCAGTCTTAAGTTTTACTACTCATAAAACTCCATCCACCACTTCAGTAATATTACACTGTCTCCCATTTAAGAGGATTGATGAATTCTAGTGAGTTAGTTACGAATTTAGACTAATTACAGAGTTAAACTTCTATAAAAACAAACGCTATTTATTTAAGAACATTCAACGTCAAAGATATTTTCATGAAAAACTGTCTCCTTAGTTTAAACTGGATCTTTTTTGCAGAAAGGATTAAGCCCCATGACACACTAGAGGTGAACCTGCAACCTGAACACTGTAGTCCCTCTTAGAAGTTTTCTTTCTGCTCCCAGCACTTGACAGATTCTAAGATTTCCTGTCTGACACATACGCCTCATCTCCTAACCCAGCAAAACCCAACAGTGTTCTTTATTTCTGTGGGAATCCCGCAACTTCATATATGCAGCTTGCACTCTAAACGCAATACATTTATCAGTCAGAAAATCCCAAATTGAAGGATTCCACAGGAAGAAAACAGAATGTCTGAATGACAGCATGGAGACAGCGGCTGGCCATTTGGGAACCTTAAGGCTGCATCTCTATCTTCATTCCTTAAGTCAAAATAAATTCCAGAAATATCACATTTAAACTGAAAATGTGAAACCATAAAAATGTTCAAAGAAAATATGGCTGAAAATTTAAAAAATACATTTTAAGGCACATGAAGAACTTTAATTATGACATAAACCCTAGGGGCCAAAAAAGAACACAACTGATTAAAAAGTGGCCAAAAAAACCCATTTATAAACAAACAACATAAACTGAAAAAAAAACTGTAGTATTAATACGGATAAAGTTCTTATAAATTCCCAAGAAAAAGAAAACCCCATGAAAACTTGTGCAACAATTACAGACAATTCATCAAGGAAAACAAGACCAATACATACAGAAAAATACTTTCAAACCTACTCAAAAGCAATACAAATCCAAACGAGATGCTAACAGAGTGACAGGGATTACCAAGAGTGTGGGGGACCAGGCACCCAAACAGACCATTAGGAGAGGTATACACCAGCACTAGCTTTTTGAAGAACAATGACGTTATTTACCAAAATGTTAAAATATGCATGCTTTTGACCCAGAAATGTAACTTCTGGGACCAGATTCTTATTTCTTCTCACATGTAAGCAAAAATATTTGTACGAGGAGGTTGTTTATAACTACAATACAGCAGTACTATTAATATATAAAAAATGAAAGAAAAAATCTGCAAAACAAGTCCAATGTCTGTCAAGGAAGCTGGTTTAAAAAAAACATTACCTTTCATGTAGCGAGGGAAAAGTGTCCTAGATATATTATTAAGTGCATAAATGATTCTGCTGAACAGATCTACAATGCCATTCATTTCAAAAGTACTATTTCTTAAAACGAGTTTAAGAGACAAGAGTAAGAGGGAGGAGTGAAGGAACACAGGAGGGTTACCCAAGAGCCTGCTAGGCACAGGAGAATGGGAGAAAGAGCTTTTCGCTTGTCACTTTATCTGTCTATAGAATTTTTCTAACATGAACAATTACTCCTTTGATAACAAAAATGTTTTTCAAGGATGCTCTGCTATTTCAGCATTTCAAAATTCTACGAATTGAATTTCTCAAAATGGAAAGAGATTGAGAGTCATGAGTCAGGTCTATCAGGAGTCACTTTGGGAATGCTGGAATTCATTTGTGAAGCAGAGGTGCTGGGACAGCCCACTGGGTGGTGACTGCCAGTAGGCGTGAGCTTTGTGCTTCTCTCACACGGCCACTGCTTACCTCTCCAAGCCTCGCCTATCTGCACACTGTCTTGCAAAGTATACTTGCATGCAAAGTGCATGTTCACTCCTGACTCCTATAAATGAGGGGCAGGCCTCAAGGTCTTGTGTTTGCTCTTAAGGACTTAATGGGATATTCAACATTCAATAGCGCAGAGTGTGCCACAAAGTGAGTGATAATCAATTGTTTTTTCATCTCTTCCATCCCAGAGACAAGGCCAATCCAGGCGCACTGCTGTTGCCACAGACTCTTTCAGTGATCTTAAGACTCCAAACCCAGCTCCTTTGAAAATATGGTCTTGCCTTTTTATGGGACAACCACTATTACAGACAGAAGACATGAAACCGGTCAGGCAGTCTGGTATCCTACAAAACTATTTGTCCATTTTACTTTACAGAGCTCACACTTGCCCCAAATCAACACTAACCAGAGATAGAATTCTTTAGTTATATAGCTGAACCATTCATCCGGATGACAGGAGGCATAATCACGCCAGCATGACTAGATTTTGGCCCTCACAGGCCCCCTCCACCCGCCCAAAATGACAGGAGTCTCACAATTACAGTTTCGTTTCTGACGACTAGCCAATGGATGCGTAAGCAGGGGCAGGTATAAGATTTCAACATTTTTCCATTGGCACTCTTATTTAGAAAATAAGATATTCTTTAGATATCAGGCCAATTCTTTAGATACCAGACCACTATAATTGGTAAATAATGTCATTGTTCTTCAAAAAGTTAGTGACAGCTTAAACCTCTCCTACTGGTCTGTTTACCATTGGTAATCACTGTCAATCTGTTAGCATCTCATTTTGGTTCATATTTATTTTGAGTGCAGATTGACTCATACTATTTAATCTGACTTGGACCCTCACTAATACTTGGTATGGTTGATTCTGTTTTCCAAGGGAAAACTAGGCAGGAAAAAGTAACACACAATTCATTATCTAGCAATGGAATAAACAAGCTCACTAACACAGTAAGTTAAAATTTAAGTGATTAAAAAGCCCATGCCTCTGCCGGGCATGGTGGCTCACAACTGTAATCCCAGCACTTTGGGAGGCTCAGGCAGGTGGATCACCTGAGGTCAGGAGTTCCAGACCAGCCCGGCCAACATGGTGAAAACTCGTCTCTACTAAAAATACAAAAATTAGCCAGGTGTGGTGGCTCACGCCTGCAATCCCAGCTACTTGGGAAGCTGAGGCAGAAAAACGGCTTGAACCTAGGAGGTGGAGGTCGCTGTGAGCCGAGATTGCGCCACTGCACTCCAGCCTGGGTGACAGAGCGACTCTGTCTAGGAAAAAAAAAAAAAAAGCCCATGCCTTACACACAAATAAAACTATTTACAGTATTTCTCTTGACAACTTGCTTTAAGTTACCAACAACAATCTGATTACGAACCTTGTCATTATAAATATAAACTAAAGGTTTTTTTTTTTTTAAATCAGCGAATTCTTTGTTGACAAATACTGTAATCCAGAAATCTGCTTTTCTACTTCATATTGAACAGTCAACTAAAGTAGTCACATTGCACAGGGATATGCCCCACCTTCGAGACCATCTGCTACAATGTGAAGCCTGACAAAGCTTCTATGACAATATCATCACCAACCTCAAACTGGAACTAATAGAAATAATCGTAATGGATATACACGGGGATTAAAAATTCAAGTGTGCAGAGTTTAAGATACTTGATTATATAAAGTTTAAAATACTCAAATATATCTTTATGCATATATACATGTCTGTATTTCATATTTTTCAAGAGGTTGAATCTCCTGAAGAAATCCAATATGCACCACCATCCCGGGAAAAAAAATGAAAACCGAAAAACAAAAAACTCTCCTTATCTCAGTGTAATGCCAGACACTATTTGGAAATAAACACACCTAGGCAGTTCCAGTGTCCCGTGGTCCCCACCTGGCATCTGCACTGTGCTCTCTCTTCCGGGACTGCCCTTCCCTCCCTCGTGATGCTCGTGGCTTGCCACCTCATCTCAGCAGAGGATTGGCTCCAGTGCCACCTGCTCAGAGGGACCGCCCTGAGCAGCCTCTCTAAAACAGTCCTGTCTCTTCATCCCATCCCTAGCAATCTCTAGCCCCCTCCTGTCCTGCTTGAGCTCTCTCCCTAGTAAGATTTCCTACAAACATACTATATTTTTACTTATTTACTTTATCTTCCCAGCTAGAATGATTCTAATTTCCTGGCATTTACATATGAAACTATAGTTTAATCATTCGAGGGAGAAAAAAGCCAACCTTAATGTTATTCTATTATCAAGCATATTCATCTTACCAAAGAGGAAACTGAAATCCCTCCGTTTGGCAAAACACAAACGAGGATGTGGCTAAGTTTCTACCCTTCATCTCTAATGGACTCTTGAGATCATCAATAACTCACTCAGCTGTGGGGCCAACCTGATGTGAACACAGTACACACATCCAGTGAAACATGGGATGTAACTGACAGAAATAAGCACATACATTTTTTGAAGTAGAGAAGTCACAGGCAGAAGCTGAAAAAACAATTATTATATAGGCGCCATAGAATTAGAATAAAAATCTTTGTCAAAGCTCAACAAAATACTGAAATTGATTGGTAAACTGATCAAGCAACTATAAAAGCCAAACTGGAGTACAAGAGTACTTTAGGGTTGGT